TTGTTTATTTTTTTCTTTCATTACGTTTAACTAATTTTATTATGTCAAGGTGAAAAGGTTACATTAATGGTGTAAGAATAGGTATAATGTAAACTCAATATGAACTTTAATGTTTGATACTAATTTTTTTGTATTTGTTATCTTGTTCACTCCTTAATACTTTGCTTGTTAAATGACTAATCTAGATTTATGTTGTATAACACATGGTACAACAAATGTTTGGCACTTTTATAGCCCATACTGTATGGTATAACCGACATTTGATTTTTTTTTCAATTTTTTTTGAGGCGGTAAAACCAGCCAATTGATTTTTTATATATGATTTTTTTTTTGTTTTTTACAATAATCAAATCTAAATTTATTACCTTTGCTTGCTAGCTCCTCGGCAACGGCGCCAAAATTGCTTGACCGCTTTTTATGATCGGCTTGTTTTAACTCGCAAGTGCATGAGTATGCAATGTAGCAATTAACTCGGTAAGATCGAGGTCATATCCACAGAGAGCTAGATCTGGAAATTAAGCTAGGTAACAAAAAAAAACTCAAGAGAAATTAAATTAACAATAACTTGGTTGAAAATAATTGATGGATTTGTTTTCAAAGATGAAAAAGTGTAAATAGATTTTAAATGACAAGAAAAGGTAAGTCTTGGTCCAAATCAATTTTAATGGTGATGTATTGGTGATTTCTTCAAGATATATAAGATAACTCAACCTAATATCAACGATGGTGATATTAGATCGGAGGATATTACAATGAAGTTTAGAAAGATGAAGATTGATTATTGCTTAAGAATGAACAAGTACTTTCATATTAAGTAAGACATTGAATCAAGCAATCTCTATACCAAAACTAAAGTTTGTGCATAAAAATTCAAGATTATAACATTACCTAAATGATTTCTAAAATTTCTTTGCAATAATAAATCATTCATGAAGAAAATGAGAAGATAAACATTAAGATTCATTCATATCCTAAAGAACTCACCTCAATCACCATTATCCTTGATTTGGATCCAAGAAAGAGTTTAGCCAACCATGATTATATATAAGAACACTTCAATAAACATGAAATAACTTGAATTAAACTGAAATAATAAGTTTTACAAACTAAAGAACCGAAATCTATAAAGAAGAACACAACACAATTTCAGAAAAAATTCAGACACAAATCTGACTCTAACTTTGGACAGCAATTTGACCCTCTTAGAAGCCTTCTATCGAGATGTCTATTAGAGACATATTTATAGGAAATTCTGTCACCTTTCCAGATCATTAAAGAACAACTCATTTGGACACCTGAGTCAAAAGTTATGGGCAAAACACCAAAATGTGTTCTAAAAAATCAAATCAGGACAGCTTTACAACCACTTTGGTGCACGTTTTTCTTCCTCATTTATGAGCTGTCTCTTTCTTCTTTTTGACCCAAAATAATGTAAAAATGTCCCCTCCAGCTTTCCATCCATGTTCTTGCCTTCTTGGATCAATGGATTACCCAAAATAAATCAATTGTTGTTGTGTGGACATGTAAGATCATGGATTGTGTTTGGGCTGATTTGAAGGTTGATTTGGGGCTGATTTGAAGGTTGATTTGGGGCTGAATTTAAGCATCAAATAAGTATACAAATATACCTATTATTTGGGCTAAGATTGACATTGAAACCTTGAGTGTTTAATGGTTGAAGTTTGCACACAACATAAGGCAAGTTTGGGCTTAAAATAGATCATATGATATTCTTTTCTAGAATTGGAATAGAATTGATTTTTGGGACAAATTTGGAGCACTTATTATAACCAAGATTTGCTTCAATCTTCAACTAAATGTCTCTTCAATTCTTTGTTCTGAATTCCGACGTTGAATTTCCTGAATTAATTCATTTAAGCTCCAAAAACCTATCGAAACATTAAAACAAACTTCATTACTAAAAAGCACATCAATTATTATAAAAAAAACCAAATAAAAACAATAAATACATATGTAAAATAAGAGACTTAATGACACTTTTGATGCACAATCAGTATGGTATAACCGACACTTGAGCTATAAAAGAAACTTGATTTGTTGTTAACATAAGTCATAAACATAAATATTTGACAATATTTACAAGTATTAGCATTATTCAAATAAGATAACTAATGTAATCATGTTAACAATTTATAATCTGATTGGAGCCTCCTTTATGTGTGGTTTTCATTTGAATAATAAGAGTTTATACTATACTTGTTTGACATACCATTAGTAGATCCTCTAACCTTGATATTTATTGTTATCATTGTTTAATCCTTACGTTAATCTTCCATCTCAAAGTTCTCATCAACTTCTTATTTTTCTTCTATTATTATTGTTGTTGTTGTTGTTGTTGTTGTTGTTGTTGTTGTTGTTATTGTTATTGTTACTATTGTTGTTGTTGTATTATTGTTATCTATAATTTACACAATTAATCTCCCTGTGGTTCGACCTCGGTCTTTCCGGGTTATTTATTATTCCGACACTCCTACACTTGGGAGAAGACATCAATCTTTTAGTCGTGTCAACCCACTTCATCCAACAAATATGTGTTTGTTTCTTAGTTCAATGACTTAGTTTTTAGTTAACAGCTAGATAGATGGTTTGTGCTATATCACAAATCAGGTTAAATTTTTTTAATGTAAAAAAAAAATTTTCAAATAATGATAATGTTTTTAAAAAAAAGTAAGAAAAATTTGGTACTCAAATTATCGATTCAAATAAATTTGATAAGTTTGGTTAATTTAATAATATGATTGTAAAATAAAAAGTCAATAACAATAGAAAAAAATAACAATAACCAATAAATAAAAAAAATAAAAAATGCTTACTGATATCATGAAAAGACACTCAGTAAATATTTTTAAGAAGTCTCTACAATCTTATTTGATAATAAAGCTAAAATTGAAAGAAAACAAGAAGATCTTATAAAGATAAGAATGAAAAAACAAAAATAAAGCTCAATCACTAGTAAAGAAAACGCTAAAGAATGAATTGAAAAAAAAATTAATTTTAAAAAAAAATAAAAAAATTAACTTAAATAAGCATGTCAAACATATAGCTAACTTATGATAATGAGATAACCCAATAAAATATTAAAAATTAGATGGCCCGTACTATATCACAGATCAAGTTAAATTTTTCTTAACATAAAAGAAAAGAAGTGTTCAAATGATGATAGTATTTTTTAAAAAGTAAAAAAAAAATTAGTTTTGATTATCAATTCAAATAAGTTCGATAAGTTTGGTTAATTAATAATATGATTATAAAATAAAAAGACAATAATAAAAAAAAATGACAATGACCGATAAAAAAACAATGCTTATCAATATCATAAAAAACACCTAGTAAATATTTTTAAGAAGTCTCTATGATTTTATTTCATAATAAAACTAAAATTGAATGAAAACAAGAAGATCTTATAAAGATAAAAAGAAAAAGAAAAAAAGTTTAATCACTAACAAAGAAAACACTGAAGAATTAATTGAAAAAAATAATTTAAAAAAAATAAAAAAATAATTCAAGTAAGCATATCAAACACATAGCCAATTTATAATAGTAAAATAATCCCATAAAAGATTAAAAATAATCTAAAAGGGACCAAAAGCTAATCTTTAAAATCCAAGTTTTGAGGCATACCAGGTCATCCTATAAAAGCCAGACCCCAATAAATCTTGATGCAAAATTCCCATCTAAAATTAAAAAATAAATAAATAGAAATAAAAAATAAAAATCAAATATAGTGCAAAAATTAAATAAAATAAAACAATTAGGAATAAAACTAAAAATAAAATAAATCAAGAAATGATTAAAAAAATAGAAATAAATAAAACAAGAACCAATTATGTTATTAATACTAAACAAAACAAAATAAAAGAATGAGAAATTAAATTAAAAAAATAAGATAAATCAAGGAAATGATAAAAAAAACCAAAAATAGCAATTAAGATAATGGAGACCAAGTTTAATTGATGAAAAAAATAAATAAGAATTAAATTAAAAATGGAGACCAAGTTTAATTGATGAAAAAATTAAATAAGAATTAAATTAAAAAAAACATTATAATTTTATAAATTAATTCAAATAAGATAAATAATAATAAATAAAAAAAATTAAATTCAAAAAAAAAAAAGGTTGAAGGGTTGGTATAAGAAATCAAAAGGTTTATGCGGGAATCGAGGGGAGAGGGAGGGAGGAGGAGGGAAAGGCCATCAATGTTAAATTAGTGATTTATTATTTATACATGCTACTCAATTATAGAAGAAATGTCAAGCACGCTCCAACACCATCTTCAAATATGGTGTTTGGTTAGCAGACAATGTTGCACATGCTAACTGAAACCTACAAAATATGTAAAATTATCAAATCACTTCTTATTCCATGTAATAATTTTAAAATCATTATTATACTATAGCAAAGCAATCTGGAGTACAATATAAGTCTACCTTTATAATGAATTATTAAGTACTCTTAATTTTTTATAATAAAATATCTTTTTAATAGTTAGTAACACATATAATCCTTAATTTATGTCCTTTTCTTGCACCTGTGTTAGCAACACATGCATATTTTTTTTTACATTAAAAAAAAATTTGGTCCAACCTATAGCAAATCACTAGCCTATTATCTAATGTAATCTAATAACATGGAAATTAGAAAAACCCGCATCGAAGCATAGTTGTTAGATATGACACGAAAATCTAACTTGAAAAGGAGTTTGAGTCAATCCACGATTGCCATGTCATCAGGTCAACTTGTGGATCGCTGGAGCAACATGGGAGGCAGTGAGTTGATTTTGAGTTGCAATATTAAAAAAGAAGTCTTAGCATGCAACTGCTTCATCTCAGCAGCGTGTCCTTAGGAGACATGTTTTGGAATTTTTTGAAGATCAGGAAAGAGTTAAGACTGCATAATATTAGTTTAATCATTTCAAAACCTTGAATAATATTGTAATACGTAAAATCCTGATTCTTCTTGACTCCTTTCACCGAAACCATGGACATCATAATTTGACAGTTCTCTGCTTTTCAGCATTACAATCTGTAAAGGGAAAAGAAGACAAAAGTAAAAGGCAAAACAGAGATCTTTGACCCACTATACCTGCCTCTCCCAGGTTCTAGTCCTTGTACCCATCGTCAAGGAAAGTTCATTTCCTGCAAACCCAGCTCATTTTTCCACTTCCCCAAAAATAACTTGTTCTCAGGTATCAGTCCAGACAAAATGGCTTCTTGGCTGTTATGGCTGATTGTTGTGTTCACCATCATAACAGTTGGAAAGGGAAAGCAAAATGTTCGCCAAGTATGCCACCCCAATGACCTGAAAGGTCTAACTAGCTTCAAGGCTGGAATCCATGTCGATACTTCTGGCCGGCTGGCAAAGTGGGTTGGTCATGGTTGCTGCAGCTGGGAAGGCATCACCTGCAACGAAACAACAGGCAGGGTGACTGGAATCCGTCTTCCAGGATTCATTTCCACAAACGATTTCGTCTTCCAATCTCAGATGAGAGGGTTGCTTTCTCCTTCAATAACACTCGTGAGCTGTCTCGAAGTCATTGATCTTGGTGGTCTGATAGGTCTTGCTGGCAGAATCCCACCATCAATTGGTTTGCGCCTCCCAAATCTCAGAAAGCTTTATCTATATGGAAACAAGCTCATCGGCCCAGTGCCTGATAGTATCGGTAAGCTGTCAAAACTTGAGGAACTTCACCTGTATGAGAATAGATTGTCTGGTTCTCTCCCATCAACCATGGGTAACCTTAAAAACCTTAACCAGCTACTTCTATATTCAAATGAACTAGCTGGTAAGATACCTGATTCAATCACGGATTTGACGAATATTGTACAGATGGATCTTCATAGCAATATTCTGACTGGTCATATACCAGAAAGGATTGGTGAAATGCAGGTATTGGAAAAACTCGATCTTTCGGAAAATCTCTTAACAGGTAAAATTCCACATTCATTAGCAAACTTAAATTCCATCTCAGAGTTGTACTTGAATACCAATTATCTAGAGGGTGAGATCCCATTTCCATCTAGTTTTGGCCAACTGTCTTCACTTGGCTTTCTTAGACTTGATGATAACCATCTAACTGGAAGGATACCAGCCAGTTTTGGAAATATGGTTTCTCTTCAGAGAGTTTCCCTAGCAAATAACAAGTTTGAGGGGGTGATTCCCTCTAGTTTGGGCAATCTTTCAGCTTTGAAAGAATTGTATCTCTCTGGCAATCTATTATCTGGCCAAATACCAGAATCAGTAGGTCAGCTCTCTCAACTCATTATGTTCAATGTATCTCACAATCAGATTCAAGGACCACTACCTCATGAGTTGTCTTCCCTTGAAAATCTTCAAACACTAGATTTGTCATTCAATCATCTTAACCTCATCTCCTTCCCACGGTGGCTAGCTGAATTGCCATCCCTTTCAAGGATATACTGTGCTAGATGTGGAATCCAAGGCGAAATTCCAGACTTCTTGCAAGCAACTCCCAGTCCTATACAGGAGCTGGACTTGTCCTCTAACCATCTCACTGGAAGCTTGCCGGCATGGCTGGGGCGCCTTACTCAGCTCTACAAATTAAACTTTTCAAGGAACTCACTTGTTTCAAGGATCCCTGTTTCAGTTAGAAATTTGCAGTATTTGGGTGTGCTTGATCTCCATTCAAACAAGCTAACAGGCCCAATAAATAATGTGTTTCAGATAGGAAATGCCTTTTCTGATGGTTCATTGACATATATTGATCTCTCCGATAACTATTTCTCTACTGGCATTGTACAAGCTGGAGTGGGCTCACAAACTGGGATTCAGTACCTCAACTTGTCCCATAATTTTCTTGAAGGGCGTGTAACCACAACTATAGGGAGATTGAAATCACTGCAAACATTGGATTTGAGCTGTAACAAGTTAGGTTTCAACTTGCCGGAGGCTTTAGCAAATGTTAGCTCCTTAGAGAAGCTGAAGCTGCAGAAAAACCACTTCACTGGCAGGATACCAGTTGGGTTTCTGAAGCTGAAAAGGCTGAAGGAACTGGATTTATCAGATAATCTTCTTGCAGGGGAGATTCCTGCAGGGAAACCATTAACTGACTTTCCCCAGAGTTCCTATTCTGGAAACAAAGGTTTATGCGGAAAGCCTCTTTCTCCCTGTAAGGTAAAAGGTTTACTTCTAGTTGAAGAACCTCTAAAACCATGCTAATTTTTTCAAATATTGAAACACTGAGTAGATTAAATATCATGATGCATTCCATGATCCGCTCTCTCTCTTAGATATTGGTCCGCGCTAAGCCCACTAGATTATTTAGCAAGACTCTGAATATTTATGTTTGCAGATGAATTAAACTGTTTCATCAACGATTTAACAGAGATTTTCTTTAAAATGTTCCGTTCAAAATGTGTTTTCGTATCAAAAAAAGGGTGCATCTCTATCACAAAAACATTTATCATATCTTTCAGGTATAAATGCTGAAATGATTTGTTTCGTAGCTTAGGCTTGCGCATAATCGCAGGGTTCATCATCTGTGCTGGGATGGACTTGAGGAGCATACAATGACCAGGTACTAATTAACACAAGGTTTGACATTACGAAAAAATATGCTGCTTATCGAAGCAGTACCGTACAATGATCTAATCCAATTAGATTTTGCGCACGCGCTCGCACACACTGCACTTCTTTGCCTCAGTTGTTTTGATTGTGAATTTAAGGACTGATGATGAAACAGAGGTTTCTCTAAAAATTACCCTTTATTATATCAGAAGGAAGCCTTACACTGTTTATCCACTTAAAGATTCAAACGGCTCTTGATTTAACCCCAATTGGTGGTATTTCATGTAATCAATTCCGTTTAATCTTATACAGCACAAGATCTGCTCTGGCAACTCTTCTACTTTGTTCCCCTGTTATAAAACGAGAATACGAACTCCTCATGAATATCAACTCCACAAACCACCATAGAAAATCTAAAACGTTTTCATTTTCTTTATTCTTGAAAAATAAAACACGGATACCCATTAAAAGGAAAGATACACTTGCCTGAATTGTGAGGCCAATATCCAGCACACAAATTTTAAGCCTGTCTAGGAATGCTTGAAAACCTTTCCTAGAGATATAACTGAACCTATGCATATCAATGTCAATCTCGAAGTAGTTATCTCCCTGCAAAAAAGTACCAAAAAAAACCTGGCATATAAGAAGGAAAGAATTATAAAATCATCTGGCACCGTTTCTTATCTGGTTTAATACAGCTACTTAGACTGCTCGTATTACATTGACTCACTGTAGAAATAGAAGATCAAGGTAGCAGAATAGCAACTGAGGCATCCCAGTACAGGAATGACCATTCAAGTCACTACAGTAACATTAATAAATCATTTTTGTTTATGAAAAACTAAGGTATTTAAATATAGGCATCAACGATTATGATTATCTAGTACCAGCAGCATATTTTGCCTTTCACATAAGCAAGATACACATCCAAAGACAGCTGCAAATTGTGTTTCAATAATCAAGACATTAAAAGTCATGCTTTAAACGGAAACAAGTAAAATGGAGTTGCAAGACCAGTATGAGTTATTGGACAAGAATATACCAGGTAAAACTCATGTTGAGGACGTGAAAGAACAGGTTTCTCATTGTAATCCTGCATGAGATTCTTTTCTGCAGCACTTAAATGAAGATCTTCTACATTTACAACACGGCCCAATATCTTCAGTCTTTCCCGAAAGGGTGCAATTGTATCTACAGGGAAGCCTTTGACCTTTTCAACTTCATCATCAATTAATCGCTGTTTTAAGAAGGATTGCAGATATGAAATAATAAGAATTAAGATTTTCAATCATTTAATAATGAAGAAGACCTAAAAAAAAAAAAAAGCAGCGAAACAAGAGAGCAGCACGCTTCAGTGAAACAAGAGAGCAGCACGCCTCAAATTAACATTATATACAAGTTGACATATTAAAATAAAGAAATCAGCACACCAGCAGAAAAGCCTTCTCATTCTTTTTCCCTTTTTCAGCATCATCACCAAAGATAACATGCATCAGACAGGATTATAAATATTCTGAAGTGGTAGTTTATGACAAGAGATTAAAAAAGAATGCTCATCTTACTCTTATACTTTCTTGAAAGTGGGCTGGAAGTTCCTTCAAGTAACTATCAGAAAGCTTAAAATACAAAACAAAATTTGTTCCTTCTCCATCACTTTCACTCTGAAAAATTGCAGCAGGATACAAAGGAACCTGTAGAAGCCACAATGGAGTCAGCACAAATAAATAATACAAGAAGATTTTCATTCTCCTTTAACTACACTGTCAGGAAATCCTGAATAAATGCATCCATGTACTGACAGAAAAAATGGAAATACCTGAACATTTACAACAAGGATGGGTGGGAAGTTCCCAGCAGAGTTAATAATTGGAAGGTCCACAAACCGAGCAATATGATCAACTTTTCGTGGAGACAAGAATACATCAACACCAAATGGGTAATATGCAGAACAGTCAGGAGCAAATTCCTTCTTCTTGTCCCTGCCAGAAGACAAAAGAAGGTATTTTCAGAAGGAAACAATTATGGTCGTGTGAGATCACATTTTAACAAGTCTATAATAAATGAAAAACAAAAAGGATTATAAAATACTCTACGAGATTGCACTGAATCAAGTCTACAATAAATGAAAAACAATTATTGACTGAAAAAAAAAATGGCTTAAATACTATGATTGCATTAAAATAATTTTTTACAATGCATTCGGCGCTGCGTATGCAATAAATCAATCCAATTCCATCAGCTTAGTTTTACCTGAAATAACTCTGTCCTCGAACTTTGAAACTGCATGGCTCAATATGAGACCAACAATCAAGCATTTTCTTTTCCATAGGGCAAAAGGGTACTTGTGAACCTGCTATTGGTCTGTGCAGAATCATCTTTGAGGAAACTGAAACCATACAGAACAAAAATATGAAGAGGTCATCATACAAGTATATAATACTTTTATAAAGGGAAAATGTGGCTTTGTTGTATTACATCATCCACTACCTCTAAGAATACAAATTAGGTTGTAAATTCCTTTGAGATAAACCTCAAGCACACATGACAAGCATCGTGACCTTCATATACCAAGTGATTTACCTTTTTCCCATGAAAACAAATCACAACCACACATAACTTACTGCTCTTTGCAGTTTTAGTTTATATCCTTCTCAAGTAATGTATCTCTAACATCAAATCCTCAATTCTTAATCCCAACAATCAAAAGCAACCGTAAATCACAGCCCAGTGACAAAGAGTTTCATGAAAGTGCATTTTAAGAAATAAATGAACTTTTCACATGAAGGAATGCATGTAGAGCAACATTATCAAACATATCAACAAATCAGGCTTCAGGTTGAACATAGGTGAGTAGACTGGGAATATAGTAAAAGGCTATAAGAATCCACAGTGTTGACCTCCTGCAATATGGTATTTTGTTACATACACTCATATGTATAAGCCTTAATGCTCATCATGAGACTCCATGTTTCATCAACATTTATGCCTTCATTCCTTTAAAAGAACCAAAACAATTGCAAGGGATGAAACAGGTTTGCAAACATGCGGGAAGAAATATAGTTGGAAGTATTGTCCATGTCAAAACAAAACCAAGTTATAAATTATATAATTACTAAAAATTATCACCATGAATGAAATTTTACAAAAATAAACTGATACTTTTGACTTTTGGAAAGTAGCAGCAGAAAGCAATTTCATAAAGTGGAAAACAACATCAATAGCTGACACTTCTTGATAGACTGTTGAGAAAATTCTCTGGTATTTTTATTGAATCTGAATAATAACCTTGATCTTCATAAAATAAACTAGACATCTTTATTTATATTAGTAGTAAAATCCTTTATAGGAAAGGATTTCTAATTAGATAATTAATCTAGTATTAGGATTTCTAAATAGTAAAATACTAATTAAATAAAAAAATCTTAAGCTATGAAGAAAACAAATAATTAAAATCCAAAATTAACTAGGAATTAAAACAAGAAAACAATAACTTCAGGCTTTATATCAGAAGTTTCCAGGTTTCTTTGCGGACCTCATTTTAGGCTTGACCTTGTTAATCTGGTCCATAAACTCTTGGGATAATTGTTCTACGTCACTTCTCCAAAATACTATTCTAAGTGTTACTTTTATTCTGCAAACAAGATTTGCAATGTGGTGGAACTTAAGGTTAAAAACTCCCTTGGTGAGCTAAGATTCACACCACTTATTCAAATAACAAACGACCAAAGTGATTAGATAGCTAGTATACATCTTTTAGGCGAGAGAAATCTCAAAAACTCCCACATATGCAAGCTAAATATTAGGTACAGCATCTCAAAAACTCCCACATATGCAGGCTACATGTTAGGTACAGCATCTGCTATTTATTAGATCCGCATACAACTTGATACCATGGTCTTTTGAAAATTTAAGTAGTAGCATATTAAGCAATTAAATAGACATATTAGAAAGAAACGGTTCAAATTTGCTGATCCTCAACTAAACCTTGATCCCAAAAGCTGAAATATAAGGAATCCAATCTATAAGAATGACAATCACATTCTCATATGATCAAGGTTTAATGAGAATGATAAATAAATACAATGAGCATAAATTGTGATTACTTTGTTTGCCTCCAAAATAACAGTGCAACTGTAAAAAGTTGACAGATAAATTACTTACATAAAGCGTTAGTAGAATTCCCTTCCTTCCACTTAAATGGGAGTTTTAAGGCACCCTTTTTCCTTGCACTTGGTGGACTGGAGCTAAGTGATCTCCTCTTTTCGACAGGTGGAACAGTTGAAGCAAGACAAGGCAAACAGTTGCCTGGAAGAATTCCACAATTGTCTAATAATCCTTCCTCTCCAGCATTTTCATCTGCAGAGGTGATTTCATCAAGGAACACAGGTTGCTTTACCTCATTTGAAGGTCCATCGGACTTGGATACAGAATCAACATGATCTAAATTGAAGATATGAATATTTGTTTGTTTAGTAGCCTCACTAACGGAGTCATGTGTGGAATTTCCTGCAGATAAATCCCCTGCCTTATGCATCTGATCAGTGAATGAGGAATGTTGCATATTGACATTACAGTCTCCGTGATTGGCAACTCTGCCAGATGCAGCGCTTGGGAGTGATACACCGTCAAATCCATTTAGAGATAAGATATCTGTAGATGATAAGTATATCCATAATTAGCAAAAATAAATCCCTGATTAATCAGCA